TTTCTTTCTTTCTTTCTTTTTCTTTCTTTCTCTTGACTAATTACTCTTCCAGAACTATAGGAGTGGTGATAACAGGCACCCTCATCTTGTACCTGATTTTAGAGTGAAAGCTTTCAGTTTTTGTCCATTTAGTATGATATTGACTGTTGGTTTGTCATAGATGATTTTTATCTGATTGTGGTACAGGTCATGTATTCTGATTTCCTGTAGGGCTTTTATCATGAATGAGTGTTGGGCAAGAATTTCTTAATAGACCTCTTTTCCTCTGAGCCTATTTCCATTGAATTTTCTGCTATATTCAAAATATTTTATACTGATTACCTCATCTCACCTTATCTTTTAATAGCCCTATATTTCCTTAAAATTCTGTCAACATCTTTGATATATGCCATGTAATTTAACCACAGCATATCCTAGTATCAGAGAAAACTGTAGGCATTTATAATTTCTGGGACAAAAGTTGTTCTTGAAAATGCAGAGAGGAAGAATACGGCCAAGACGAGGTTGGAGACGGGAGCTTGTGAAGGAAAATGTTGAATTCTTAAGAGAAGATGCAATTTGAAATGAAGAGGGTGAGAAGTACCATCAGACAACCAGAGCCAATATAAACTAAATTGTTGATTTGTATTAGTTAAAATATGAGATCACAGATTTTTAAAAATTTCATGATCGGTTTGATGCTTTTGTGTTGGATAGATGCTTTGTTGATACAGTTAGCTTTTTGCCTACTGTCAAAATGCTAGCTGGACCGACCTGTAATGTGATATAGTGTTTCTAGGACTGTGTCTATGTAAAGGGTTGCTGCTAGGGGCATTTTGATAAACTTTCTGCTCTAGAAGCTGCACTGCAAGTCACTGGATAATTGTCAGCACTGGAGCAATCCCTGTATTGGGAAAGTTCCAAAGCTGTATTGCTTGGCTGATACCTCAGAGCTTTTGCTGTAGACAGTGTCTGCTACAATATCTCTTGAAGATTACTCAAGAGAGTGTGCACTATTTCATATGCAGTTCTCTCAGTCTGGGTTTATTTGGAAATAATGAAGCTGTATTGAACTACCTTACAGGAGGCCAGAAGTTTGCTATATTTGCCAGCATAATTTCCACCATTTATAATGTCCTTTTCTTTTAAAAATATATGCTGTTGATTCACATGCTTTGGTATAAGTAGTAAGAACCCTAAGAAAAATCCTAAAAATATAGAAGTAAATTAATATCCTCAGTGTAGATCTTTAAGATTTTATTTAGTTATCTCTTGAATATAATAAAGAACTTTAAATTTTGACCTCAATTTGATGCATTAGGTTGCTGTTGATCAAATGCAGCTGTAATTATTGGATATTTGAATGGCTGAGGGTTTCAGTAAAACAAATTTGAAATTGGCTTTGAGTAATATTTGCTAAACAAACCTGAAACAATCTTGGAAAATCTGAGTTTTAAGTTGCTATTACCATAGCAACATTTTGAGTGTATTTTGGGGGCCACAAAGTCCTCTGAAAAATTGATAATTAATTGCTTCTCATCATCTCACACACACACACACACACACACACACACAAAACAAATAACAACCCAGCAAAAACTGTAATAAGATTCTGTAGACTCTTCAGGGACTCCCATGATATAGGTGAATTTGTATACAATCGCTTTATTACATAAGTCTGTTAGTTCACAGGTACTTAAAGAATTTCATGCATTTGTTCAGTAATATATTGTTAAACATTTGATAACAGTTCATGTACATTGGGTCCAGTTTCCTCCCTGCTGTGTGATCTCATAGAACACGCAGTCCATTGAGTGATGTAGTTAACTAAAGGGAACGTTAGATGTTAGCACATATAGCAATGTCGTTTAACCCAAATGCTGTGTCTGATGTGGAAGCTGGTTATTCTGAAATCTGGAGAGCAAGAGGCCATTATATCTTGTTGGACTGGGAGGCTGAGAGGCACAATGAAAGGTAGTACTAAGAATCCTAGGAAAGAGAGATTATTCAGGGGCCTGGAGGATAGTTGGAATGCAATGGCAGTCAAAGAAACTGAAGGTAGGAGTGATATTCAGAATATCCTCTAAAAACATGCTAAGTGGTTTGTAATATTTTATCCTTCATTTATGGGAACAGATGATGATAAAGGAGATCAGTGACATGATTTTTTATATCAGAAAAATTATTAACTGTAGGCAAGATATTGTGGAAAAGAGAGTGATCATATGGATGGAGAGTGCCTAGGGTGCTTTTTCATGAATCCAGGGCATGGTGGTGATGGTTTGAGGTTAAATGAGGAAAATGAAGATTAGGTGACTTTGCGTTTCACTGGATGTAGAGATACTGAAGAAGAAGTAAGAACGACTCTCAGGTCTTTGTCTTAGGCAACCTGGTAGATGTTTCAAGTAGGAGAGGAGACAGGGAAGGAAAGAAGTGGAGTCCTATTTTCAACCATGTTTCAAATGTTTCTGAGACAGCTTTGAGCTATATGGGAGGCAGTTCAGTATACCGGTCTAGAATTCACAGGGAAGTTTGCGTGAGAGAGACAGATTTGAGATTCACCGGTGTTTCTTAAATGCTTTCTACTTAAACATACCTGAGGAAGAATATAAAATTCTCTTGCCCATAAAAGTTTTTGGTCTGGCAGTTATTCGCATCTTACCTTTGAGAAATCTTTCCTTTCCAGTGACGGTATGACTCACTTCAGATTTTACTCATTATCCCATACTACTCTATACACAATAACTCCCACAATGGCCACTGTTCCATTTATAACACTTTATTGTTCTTCATAACACATACTGCCACCTGCTGTATATTTAATTATGTATTACTCTTCCTCCTATTGAACTGATATTCCCAGAAAACAGAATTTTTCCAGAAAATAAACTATTCATAAGGTCTAGAAGATTACTGGTGCTTACTACTAGCCTAGTACCTAGTTTTGAATAAATTATTTTTGACAGGCTAGCGACTGCATA